ATATATGTGGACCTTTTGATGTTCCATCCTTTAATAAAAAATATTTATCACCTTTATTGACGATTTTTCACGTTATGGATATGTCTATTTGTTGCATAAAAATCTCAATCAGTAGATGCCCTAAAGGTATTTATAAATGAGGATGAAAGACAATTAGACAAAAAGGTAAAAATTATAAGATCTGATAGAGGTGGTGAATTTTATGAAAAATATAACTAAACAGAACAATGCCCTGTCCATTTGCTAAATTCTTAAAAAGCATGGTATATGTGCTCAATATACTATGTCAGGTACACCGCAACAAAATGGTATTGCAGAAAGGCGTAATCGTACACTAATGGACATGGTTAGGAGTATGTTGAGTACCGCAACAAAATGGTATTGCAGAAAGGCGTAATCGTACACTAATGGACATGGTTAGGAGTATGTTGAGTTATTCCTCTTTACCCTTAAAGGCGTAATCGTACACTAATGGACATGGTTAGGAGTATGTTGAGTTATTCCTCTTTACCCTTGTCATCGTGGATGTATGCTTTAAAAACCGTAATGTATTTGTTAAACAGGGTTCCTAGTAAGGCAGTTCAAAAGACTCCTTTTGAATTATGGACATGAAGGAAACCCAATTTGAGACACCTTCATGTTTGGGGTTATTCTGTGAAAATGCGAATTTATAATCCACATGAAAAAATTGGACTCAAGAACAACCAGTGGTTTCTTTATTGGTTATCCAGAAAAATCTAAAGGGTATAGATTTTATTATCCTAGCCATAGTACGAGAATTGTTAAAATTGGAAACGCCAGGTTTATTAAAAATGGTGACATTAGTGGGAGTATGGAACCACGTAAAGTGGAAATCTAAGGAGTTAGAATGAATATTTCTTTACCTTTAACTTCTTCTCAATTTGTTGTTCCTATAGTTGTTGAACAATTTAACGACTTTCAAGAACAACAAATAAATAATCAAACACTCTATAAAGATGTTGTTACCAATGAACCTGCAATAGATATACCCCATGAAGAACTAGCATTAAGAAGGTCTCAAAGACAAAAAAAATCTGCTATTTCTGATGATTATGTGGTTTATCTACAAGAGTCAGAACATGACCTTAGAATTGATAGAGATCCGGTTTTATTTTCACAAGCCATAAAAAGTCACAATTCTGATAAATGGTTTGATGCCACGAAAGATGAGTTAAAATCAATGGAGCATCATGAAGTTCGGGATCTTGTAGAATTGCCTAAAGGTTGTAAAAGAGTTGGGTGTAAATGGGTCTTTAAGACCAAACATGAGGGATCTTGTAGAATTGCCTAAAGGTTGTAAAAGAGTTGGGTGTAAATGGGTCTTTAAGACCAAACATGACTCAAATGGCAATATCGAACAAAGGTTGTAAAAGAGTTGGGTGTAAATGGGTCTTTAAGACCAAACATGACTCAAATGGCAATATCGAACAATATAAGGCTAGACTCGTTGCCAAATGTTTTACTCAGAAGGATGGTGTTGACTATAAAGAAACGTACATTTGCTCCTATTTTGAAAAAGGATTCATTTAGAATTGTTATGGCTATGGTGGCTCATTATGACTTAGAGCTACATCAAATAGATGTGAAAACTACTTTTCTAAATGGAAATTTAGATGAAGAAGTTTACATGGACAAACCCGAGGGTTTTTCAGTTGAAAGAAAGGAACACATGGTGTATAAACTTAAGAGATCAATATACAAACTCAAACAAGCTTCCTGACAATGGTATTTTAAGTTTAATGATGCTATCACATCTTTTGGATTTAAAGAAAATATCATTGATCAATGTATATATCTAAAGATCAGTGGGAGCAAGTTTATATTTCTTATTATGTATATTGATGATATCTTGCTTGCTGCTAATGATCTTGGCTTGTTACACGAGACCAAGAATTTTTTTTCTAAGAACTTTGAAATGAAAGATATGGGTGAGGCATCCTATGTGATTGGAATTGAAATATTCCGTGACAAATCACAAGGATTGTTAGGGTTGTCTCAGAAATCATATATTAATAAAGTGCTAGAGAGGTTCAAGATGGATAAATGCTCTGCATCTGTTGTTCCAATTCAGAAAGGGGATAAATTCAATCTTATGCAATGTCCAAAGAATGAATTGGAGCACAAACAAATGGAACAAATTTCTTATGCATCTATCGTTGGGAGCTTGATATATGCTTAAGTCTGTACAAGGATAGATATTAGTTTTGTTGGTGGAATGCTGGGTAGATATCAAAGTAATCCAGGATTGGATCATTGGAAAGCTGCAAAGAAAGTATTGAGATACTTGCAAGGAACAAAGGATTATATGCTCACTTATAGGAGATCTGATCACCTTGAGGTGATTGGATATTCAGATTCAGATTTTGCTAGATGTTTAGATACAAGAAAATGCACATTTGGCTATCTATTTCTTCTAGCTGGAGGAGCGATCTCGTGGAAAAGTACGAAGCAGTCTGTCGTTGCTGCATCGACTATGGAGGCTAAGTTCGTGGCATGCTTTGAGTCCACTGTTCATAGATTATGGCTGCGGAATTTCATTTCAGGGCTTGGACTTGTTGACATTATTGCCAAGCCGCTGAAAATTTATTGTGATAATGCTGCAACAGTCTTCTTTTCTAAAACGACAAGTATTCGAAGGGTGCTAAACATATGGAATTAAAATATTTTACCATTAAAGAAGAAGTTCAGTAACAAAGAATGTTAATTGAGCATATTAGCATAAATCTCATAATTGCGGATCTGTTAACAAAAGGATTGCCACCAAAGATATTTACTGAACATGTCGAAAGAATGGGCATTATTAAAAATCATGTTAACAAAAGGATTGCCACCAAAGATATTTACTGAACATGTCGAAAGAATGGGCATTATTAAAAATCATTACTAACTGTTATGTAAAGTTTATGTTTTTTACTGAACATGTCGAAAGAATGGGCATTATTAAAAATCATTACTAACTGTTATGTAAAGTTTATGTTTATTATATATTTGACACTTTGAGTTCATCTGAATATTGTTTCTGATATATTAATGCATCCTGTTTTTTTATTGTTAGTGTATACATGAATGATTATGTGAATATTAACAGGATGTGTCTCTAACAAGGACATTATTGTTGACCATTATGATAAGTCTCATTACAGGTCATGTTTAGTTTAAAACTAATATTGTGATACATGGAAGGGACTATGTCGATTTAACTTATACGTACGACCGCTATGATCCTTATTAGTTTTCTACTTAATGATGGTTAATGGTTTGATCAATATGATGATGGAATTAGCTTACACTATACATATTATGTTGTGTTATTAAATCATGATGTTAAATTATGAAACATGGGCCAAGTGGGAGAATGTTAGATTTTAGTATCCACGTTTATTTATTTATTTTAACCAACTTTAGTGGTCACATTTTTACTCCCACAATTTTTAGTTTAAGAAACTGCTCATGTTTTATTTTAGTTATATAACTACTCACGTTTTTATGCTAAATTCCTTTTTAGTTTAAGAAACTGCTCATGTTTTATTTTAGTTATATAACTACTCACGTTTTTATGCTAAATTCCTATTGGTCAATAAATTAAGATAACGTTATATAACTACTCACGTTTTTATGCTAAATTCCTATTGGTCAATAAATTAAGATAACTACTCACGTTAATGGAGTGTGAGTGGTTATTCTATTTAAAAGGCTTGGTCCTCTCTATTGTGAATGTGAAAAAAATTTCTCTCCATCAAGAAAATTTCGGAAAATTTCAAGAGGGTTAAGGGAGAGAAACTCAAGTTTTCAAGGTTGTTCATCTTGCAATCAATTTCTCTTCAAGTTTTAAATCATGGATCAAGGTACGTTTTCTTAATTAATTGTTCATTGTGAAAATCATTTGTTCTAAGATCTTGGCATAATGATAATTAAATAAAAAATTAAAGTATAGTTTGATTTGCTTAAATTTAAAGAATTAAGGTTACAGGAAGCCCCAAAAAAATCATGACAGTTGCCATATTGAATAGATGATTTTTCCAACATTACACGCGCACACACATACTAAGCTTATAAATTTGACAACCATTAATGAGTATGAGAAGAAGAATAGTCCAATCAACGTAAGATGTTTCCTTCCATTGTGATATGACGACCAATAATGCTAAGGAGTAAGATTCAATCCACGTAGTATTGCTTCCCTTTCTCATCTGCATATTCATGTGCATCACATGCATTTTGTCCTCCAATCATTAAGTACGGATCAAACTTTGGATCTTTCTTTCCCCGACACAAATCATTTCTTAATTCATTTACCTTGAAGCTACATCAAGTTAGAAAATCAACCATTTAAGTTAGGATTTATTTGAGCATTTATCATGCTTAAAGGATAAGCAATTCAAAGAAGTTCCTTTATCTTGCGTCAATAGCAAATGAAATGAATAGTTTTGCATTGGAATTTGCCGATATGATTTTTTTTAAGGCTGAAAGCACCCAAACAAGCTGAAAATGGAGTCAAATTAATTCCTCTGGCTTTCACTATTATCATATGAAAATCTTCACGCGATTCAGTGGAATAAATTAAGTACAGGGGGTTATGTCAAAAACCCCTAAACCCCAAGATGGTTTTGTGGAATTAAAATAGTTAACGGGGTTATCTGTTTAACCCGAAAGTTAAGTTCTTCTCTCTCTCCTTCTCTCTCTTTCTCGTGGTTGTTTTCTTTTTTTCTTTTTTTTTTTTTGGGGGGGGTGGTTTAAGATCCAGAAGTCCTTTTCCCCCATTTTTGTCTTCATTATTATTGAACCTTGGTAAATTATCAGACTTTTAAAATCAAGCACAAAAAGTTGTGCTTGGTAGTGATGTGTCACATCCCCCTCCACTCATTCAAATATGGGACCACATTCACATGGGTAGTGAGTGGATGAGGATGTAACACATCACTACCAAGCACAAAATTTGTGCTTGATACCAAGCATACCATTAAGAACAAAGAAGTGTGTTCCATTCAAATACACATGTAAAATGTAAACTATTTCTTTGTACAATTGTAGTGGATTACAAGGTCTCTATCACTGTATGCAAATTAAAAGGATAAGTGCTAGAACTCTAAAGTTAAGCCAGATGCATCTTTTTGTAGCTGTTCTTTCCTCTGCAACAATTATCTCAAAGAATCTGAACAAAATTGATATATCCATCTTCATTATTTTCATCAGTTCGATCCCAATCCTCTAGCTTCAGATCCTCTCATTATCCTTAACCTCTTGCATGAAGAAACAAACATCCTGAAAAAAAAAACCAAATAAAGGCAAAATAATCGTCAGCTCATTACTGTTTTTACAAATATTTGAATTGAACTAACTTAAAAGAAGATCATCTGCAACTTACCCCCACGGAACATCTCCGACCAACATCCAATCCCCATCTTTATCTTCATACGTTATCGCACAATCTGATCCGTTTAACCCCTCAAAGCACTTGAACATAGTATTCAAAGCCTCTCTCAGTTCTTTGTACTCTTTGTACATCTTGAGATCAGTTTTCCTCAAGTATGGAGCTCCATCCATACTAACTTTCACCAAGATACCCCCAGCCTCAGCTTCCGCTTTCTTTGCTTGAATGCTGTTCTTCCTGTAAGATCGAACCGGTGGCCACCCTACAATTTGTGCCCTGCCAAAAAATGAACATAAACTCATTAGCCACAGTTCGACATAAAATTTTAAAATCGAACCAAACAGTTGCATGCGACTGCATGTTAAAGAACCTACTTTGGCTCAACTTGCTTGGCATCAGACCCGGCATCAACGTCTAGCTCATCAAACGTCCGTTTGTTACCGGACACCGGTTTCTTTGGCACGTCATCTGTACCCGGCAACCCGAGCCTAAGCTCCGTAGCCCTGAGGTTGTCAAATTCTTCATTGTAGCTTCTTTTGGCTTCCATTTTCTTTTCTTCTTCCTCTTAGAATATAATTTTTTGTGGTTGTTTGCGTTGAGAGGTGATGAGTATTGAGAGGATTCAAGGGTTGTATATATAGGCAGATAGAAGGGAATATGGCTCAAGGTTCTATTTTCTTAAGGTGCGCGTGAAGGTGTAGAATGGTCGGTTGAGTGGGGGGCATCCATGAGACATGTACCGGTTCATAATGGAGGTTGGACCGGCCGACAAGCCGGTCCGGGTTAATACTCAAGTGGGAAAAAAATTCATCTAGAAGTCACCCTTTATATAAAATCATGGAGAGAGTAAAGAAAAAGTGATACATATATATTTTAGAATCGGTGATTATACTGATACGGTATTTTAATTGTATTGATATAATGACTTGATTGAACTAATATATTATTCTGATTGTCCTGATATAAAATTTTTATTGCATTTATACAATATTCTATCATACTAATATAATATACGATTACACTATAATGTTGTACACCGATTGCATTAATTCAAAACTGATACTCGAACGCATGGCACCTTCTTTCCGTTTCTATATGATCTTCAATAAAAAGTCCTGTAGGATTATTTTCTTTTTCCATCAAGCTCCAGTTCAGTTAGGGGGAAAAAATGTGATTCTCTAACAAAAACTATATAGAGATAACAGAAAGTTTCAGCATCAGTTTTTAGGTATATGGTTGTATAAATTCATGTAATAATCGCATTGATTCACCATTTGTTACGAAGATTTTGTTGTAATGTTTGTACTGATTTAAAATTGATTGTGAGACTTTTCCTTTAACCGACCTTGAAATTTTAGAATAATGACTTAGTTGCCGTTGCTATTGCCCCTATACACGATTATTTTCCAGCCCGGTTCGTTTGGTTATTAGCCGAGGGAGCAGCTCATGTGGGTGGGCCAGGGCCCGTATGGTTGGTGTGGACATGTAGGGGTGGTGAGCCCAACGCAGTCTTGGTTTCCTAATGGATTGGGCACATGGGCGTCTAATGCGGGTGAAACAATGGGCCTAATTGTAAAAATAACTAATTTCTCGTAAAATTAAAGTCTACCCAATATAAAAACTCCGAAACTATAGTAAAGAATGAAATTTATATGGTATGCTCTAACATATTTCATAGAAATCTGAATTACTCTAATGTCACTTAAAGTTCTTACAGTATAATAGAATTTTGACATAATAATTAAGTGGAGTGCAAGGGACATTATAAGGTGATTAGACATTTATCAAAGTTCTCCAATTAAGTTTTTCAAATGTTATTTTATATCTCATAACATGGTCTTCTTGCTTTGAAAAGGGAAGCTTTGTAAAGAATTGCTTATGATAAACTACTTTGTCACCTATACCATATTTGATCATCGCAACAGTATTAAAAGCATCATGTAAGGTTACTGTGTATTATATTCAATTTAATTATACTTTTCTATTAATTATTAAGTTTTAATGACTTTGGACTAAGCAACAATATCAACCAACGACAAGAAGCATCATGAACAGTGTATTGTACTCTTATAGAGTTTTGTAGTAATCATTGCTAGAAGTTGCAGGGAATGATTTGATTTATAATTATTGGTATGTTTACTTGAGCATGTCTTAGCATTTTATTTTTGATTGTTATAACCTTCTTTAGTTGCAAATTTTATATTGCCACACTTGAGAATTTAAAATAAATTTAAAAATACTTTTTGTTGGTAACCTGTGATACATATCCCAAATTTGGAATTATGAGATTAGATCCTACATTAGAACTGAAGTTGAATTAAATGACAAGTCAATTGGAATACTTCACAATTAATAGAGTAGAATGGCAACTTGGCTTCTAGCAAAACATTGATAGACTTTCATTTGTTTTGTAAACTTTATCAATCTTTTTCTGGCACAAGATTATGTTGTTTTAGAAATAAACTCATGAAGGCCATGTGATAGTTTATACACATTAGATTCTCTTTTTCCTCTCTTGGATTCGTACCAAGTTGCTCAAAATAAAATCAGAAACACCCGGCAAATTATGAGCTGAAATTGTCCCCTTTGCCATAGAGTAGAGACAAAAATCTCTTGATTTTATCTTCCAAGTCGCCAAACTTTATGCTGAGAAAAAAATAAGATTGTATCAAACACTGTGTCCATTCTTAGTTCTCGTCTTGCACTTACCAAACAATTGGTTGGCCACCACTGTGGTTTTGTTTGAAACTTTGTGTAGTAATTAGAAGATTTCATCATAATTTTTGGGGTCAGAGCGTGCATGAGAACAATTTAGTACGGGCCAAGCGAAGTGACAAATGAATATATATACTAGTTTCTATGCACGGGCATTGCATGTAATTAAATGTCATAATTATTTATTTTTAATTTATTTCCTTACTAAAATTTTTCTTCGATTTTAATTTGATAGTTTTTTTCTCGCTTATATCTCTAAAATTTAATATTGTGATCATTTATCTTCTTTAATATTTGCTTGAATGGGTTACACCCAATTTTAAGTTTCATGTTAATAATTGAATTGACACGAAACCAACGTGAAACCAATTTGATTATTCATGTTATTTGGATCGACATGAAAAGAAGTT